CAGTTTTATAAAAATACACCAATCTTGATCTGTCTCCACGCTTCAGTTTCATATTCAGTGCTGTCAAGGACGTGTTTAACAAAGCACACAGAAGGCATACCTCTGCTAGATAGATTGTATTACATATCTGCAGGTAGGCAGGGTTTGTTTAAGCGAAAGAAAAAATATTTACATCCAATACAATACATGAACAAGAGTAAAACATGAACAAAGTACAAACATATTACGTACAAAATTAAAAAAAAAATTATTTACATTCTAATGGATAAGAGATAAGATAAGATAATTGAAATCGTCTCGCTTTCTTATGGAAAGATTTAATCACGTCCACGTAAAATGTTGGTGAACGTTTTAATTGTACCAATAACTGTTTTTAATTGCGATAATTGATAAGTCTGAAATACACTCTAAACCTTACGTATTATCTCAACAAAGTTTAAAGATTTCCTCTCCGATTAGCAATTTAACACACTTCAATTCATCACAAGGAACACTATTATCCTCTATTTTTATTAAAAATCTTTAAAAAAGCATAAATTTTGAACTCGTAATATTAAATCGCTTAAGATAAGCACACACAGTAAATAAACATTAAAACGTGAAATGAACTTGCAAACGTATTGCCCGCGCGCCTCCGCTTTTAACAAATTTATTCCCAAAATCCTGGCTTTAGATCTCAATACTAGTTGCTATATATACAATCGTAGTTATATCTCATTATAGAATATTTTGCCGTAGGTTAGAAAGAGAGCTATCGTCTTCTCGAAAGCCCCGTAAAAAGCCCACGCGAGTGAGGGAAACAAATAATCGCTCTATTAAAACTCATTTTTATGGCGGCAGCAGTATCGCTAAAGCAATACAAGGTCATCGGTCGACATGTGTCAAACAGTGGAGTGCGCGGGAAATTTGAAATAACTTGAAACATTTTACGAGTTATTTTATTAGTTGATATTATTGATTGATTCAGTTTTAATAAGGCAAGCCCGGCTTTTCGGCTTTTATGGAAGCTTCGCCACTGGTCTCCGTCATTACACCGAATCTAACAGACTCCTCCCAGACAAGCAGTTTGGCTTTAGAGCCAATCACTCATGCACCTACCAGATTCATCGCCTAACAGAATACATTCTATCTGGCTTCAACCAAAACCCGTCAAGGAAAAAGTCTCGAAACACGGGAGCCCTCTTCTTCGATATCGCGAAGACGTTTGACAAGGTCTGGCACGGCGGCTTGATTTACAAGCTGTACAAACTAAACGTGCCCGATAGGCTCGTGCACATCATACGAGCTTTCCTTTCGAACCGCACTTTTCGATATCGAGTGGAGGGAACCCGTTCTTCGAAACGCTTCCTCAAGGCCGGAGTTCCACAGGGCTCCGTCCTATCTCCACTCCTCTTCACACTCTTTATGAGTGATATCCCTAAAGACCCCGTGGTGAACACCGCACTCTTCGCCGACGATACGGCACTCTATGTCTCGGACTACAACAAAAATAGACTCTCTTTACAGCTCCAAAAAGCGACCAATTGCCTTGGTGAATGGTTCCGCCTATGGAGAATTGACGTGAATCGCGAAAAAAGTGTAGCAGTATAGTTTCAACGGAATTCAATAGCAGGTTCTAAACCAAAAACGATTTCTCTATACGACCGCCAAACCCCTTGGGAAAAATCGACAAATATCTAGGCGTCACGTTCGACTCCCGCTTGAGTTTCGCGACACACATAAGTGTAGTACGCAACAGAGCCAAGTCAGTAATTGGCCGTCAACACCCTTTCATTAACAGCAAGAGTTAGCTGTCGCTAAGACACAAACTCCGACTGTACAAAACCTGCATTACACCAATTATGTCCTATGCAAGTGTAGCTTTCGCCCACACATATAAGACCCACATTTTAAAACTCCAAAGAGTACAAAACTTTTTCATCCGAAAAGCCACTGGTGCACGGTGGTATCAACGGAACTCTGATTTGCACAATGATTGTGAATTACTATCTATCTCAGAATACTTTAAGGAGATGTCCCAACGCTACTTTGATAGAGTAGAAACCCACCCTAACCCGCTAGTGACAAACGCAGACCAAGTAATGTGTTAATAGAACCACCTCAACCGCTCGATCCAGTCGACCCAAACGTCGCAGGCACATCATCCAATGACACTACACCCACACTAAATGGGACAAACATTACTAGGATAACGAATGGGGCGCGTCGCACCCGCAGACGGGCACGACGAGTTCCAGCTCACACCGCGTACACACCGTACACCCGCGTTCCTGGGCGGTTCCACCGCTCAGACCATCGACCGACACGAGCTGAGCAGTCAGAGACGGGGGTCCGCACTCTCCCTCTCGGACTGCGGTTACATAGCTCAAAAAACGCTTAAAAAGGCGACATGATGATTGGTAACAATACCAAATCCTGAGTCAGATGAAGCTGTAAGAGTCGCATAGACTAACAGCGCTAACATCTAGAAAATAGATAGAAAATAGATGTTTAAAGACTATCAAAGTGACAGTCGAGTTAGTGTAGATTTCGAGGCAAACTTTGTAGCGTCTCAGAAGTTGGTTACGAGCGCTAGACCTGTACCTCCGCGCGCAGCTTTACGTACAGTGATCCGAGCCACCATCAAGTTTTCTTTTAACTATATCTGCACGGACTAGCGCTCTATGAATTTCTATGAAGCATCTCGGTCAATAGCCGTGGCTGCGTTAATTTCAGACTACGTCTTACATACGCATTTCTAATTGTGACCGTGGTAGGAAAAGGGGAGATCTCCCGCCGGGCAAGGTATTCTGCCCGGGGAGCGGCCGACACTCCGTGTGATAGTTCGGAGCTGTTCTATATATACTGTTCATGATTCGGAATGTTAATAGCGCGATTTAGGCTTCGGTGTGTTTCGACGACAGCGCCGCTACATCACCCTCCTGCTCAGACCGGAGGTCGATAGTGAAGTCAAAAACAATGAACACAAACACAAATGCTGTAGTGTGCGTGTATAGAGAAGCGATTCAATTTTGCATTTGTATTGAAGTCTACAGTAGTGTGTTTTCCTCGCCTACCCCTGAAAATGACTTTTGTTGAGGAATTTACGTGCATGGCCTCTCCAGTTGCTTGAATACTCAAAGGTTTCAGTATTAAGCTTTTAATAATTTTGAGGTAAATTTCTGTCACTTCATTATATTTTTATTTTAAATTAAAACCTTATTATTGTTGCAAGCAATAATTGAAGCCCCTAGCGCCATCTAGTGTCGGGGAGCAGAGCGAGTTTTTCCATCTTTACTTTACATCTGTACTTTCTATCTATCTGTACTTTGCATCAACATCGCCATCTAGTATCGAATAGGAGAATTAAGCTCTCTAGAAAAGTTCACACTCGAATTTTCTACATCTACTCAGTCGGGACCGGTATTTGCCGGAACATTCTAGATGTTTCGGTGGAAAAGGCCTAATAAAGTCGTTGTGGGCCGCGACCGGGGCAGTATTGAATTGGCGATACGAGCGATGCTTTCGGAGCAAAATAAAGTGAACTAAAGTGTTAAGTGTGATTAATTATTTTGGTAATTCAATCGGCAGTTTTTACTGTCACGAACCCTAAGCTCGTAATATTAATTTATCACAAGTATTTCCTTATATATTCATCTCTTTTATAAAACAACAATATTATATGTCCGGAGTGTGGTGTCACTCACGCTGAAATCGCGGTTGCATTCTGCAGGCTGCCGCCGTGTTTGGCACTATAGGTCAGCCGATTGGGATGGGATGCGGTCTTTCTTTGCATACTACCCTTGGGGGCGGGTTTGCTTCTCGCCGGACGATCCCAACGTTGTTGCGGATTCTGTCGCTGATGCGGTACTTCAGGGTATGGAACTTTTTATTCCTTCCTCTGTGGTGCCCATTGGAGGCAAATCTCAGCCATGGTTTGGTCGCTCCTGTAAAATAGCATCATGCTATAAGCAGGAGTGCTACCGAGCCTGGGTTGACGCATCAGCGTCCAGGGATGTAAACACCAGCGCTCTAAAAAAAGAAGTATAATTCCGCCTCTAGGTCCTTCAAAAGAGTCCTTGCCAAGGCAAAGTCAGAGCACATAGGCAGAATTGGCGAGAGACTAGTTCGTCTTCCTTCTGGAACCCGTGCATTCTGGTCTTTCGCCAAGGCTGTCCAGGGGAATTTCTGTCAGCCATCTCTTCCATCTCTGCACAGGGAGGACGACTCACTGGCCCACACCGCAAAGGAGAAAGCCGATCTTCTAGGCTCTTTCTTTGCGTCTAACTCGACTCTCGATGACGGGGCGAGTACGCCGCCGACCATCCCGCGGTGTGAGTGCTCCATGCCGGAAGTGCAGTTCACTCAGCGCTCGGTTCGCAAAGCACTCCTCTCCCTGGACATCCATAAGTCGAGTGGGCCTGACGGAATCCCCCCAATTGTGCTGAGGACGTGTGCTCCAGAGTTGGCACCGGTTTTAACGCGTCTTTTCCGGTACTCCTACTCCCTAGGCGTAGTCCCAAAATCATGGAAGACGGCTTTCGTCCACCCGATCCCTAAAAAAGTCGACCGCTCAGACCCGTCACACTACCGGCCTATCGCCATCACCTCCTTGTTCTCCAAAACAATGGAGTCCATTGTAAACTGCCAGCTCATGAGGTACCTTGAGGATCACCAGCTGATTAGTGACCGCCAATACGGTTTTCGCCGTGGTAGGTCAGCTGGTGATCTTCTGGTCTACCTAACTCACAGATGGGCGGAGGCAGTAGAGTCCAAGGGGGAGGCATTGGCCGTTAGTTTGGACATTGCGAAGGCCTTCGATCGGGTTTGGCACAAAGCGCTTCTTTCGAAGCTCCCTTCCTATGGGCTTCCCGAGAAATTGTGCGATTAGATCACCAGTTTTCTTGCAGATAGGAGCATCAAGGTCGTTGTAGACGGTGCAAGCTCCGATTGCAAGCTTATTAATGCTGGTGTTCCACAGGGCTGCGTGCTATCGCCAACGCTGTTTCTTCTGCATATCAATGATATGTTGCAAACCCGTACCATTAATTGCTATGCATGACAGCACTGGTGATGCTCTTTACAACGGCCGAGCCAATATTTCTCGGGAAAACGTCTCTGAGTGCCGGGACAAACTTGTGTCTGAAGTCGAGTCTCTGCTGGACAGAGTCTCGGATTGGGGGCGACTAAATCTAGTCCAGTTTAACCCCCAGAAGACACAAGTTTGCGCGTTAACCGCTAAAAAGAACCCCTTTGTCGTATCCCCTCAGTTTCAAGGCACTCCCCTTGTTGCCTCAGCCAGTATCGGAATCCTCGGCGTCGACATATCGAATGACGTGCAGTTTCGTGGTCACTTGGAAGGGAAGGCCAAATTGGCCTCTAAAAAAGCTTGGCGTGCTCAGCAGAGCGGGACAGTATTTCATGCCGGCACACCGCCTGCAACTTTACAAGGCGCAGGTTCGGCCGCTCATGGAATACTGTTCCCATCTCTGGGCTGGGGCTCCCCAGTACCAGCTCCTTCCACTTGACCGCATCCAGCGCAGAGCGGCTCGAATCGTCGACGACCGAGTGCTTTCCGATCGGCTCGATTCACTGGCGCTGCGAAGAGATGTTGCATCTCTTTGCGTATTTTATCGCATCTATCACGGGGAGTGCTCTGAGGAATTGTTCGGATTAATCCCAGCCGCCAAATTTCGTGAACGCACTACACGGCAAACGTCCCGATACCATCCACACCATCTGGATGCTTGGCGGTCCACCACTGTACGTTTCAAAAGGAGTTTTCTTCCGCGTATAACCTCTCTGTGGAATAATTTACCACCGGTGATTTTTCCGGACCGATACGACCTGGGGACCTTCAAGAAAAGAGCTTACTCCTTTCTAAAGGGTCGGCAACGCACCTGCAATTCCCCTGCTGTTGCGGTTGATCATGGGCGGCGGTAGTTACTTAACATCAGGTGAGCCACATGCTCGTTTGCCCCCTCTTCTATAAAAAAAAATATATAACTACCATAACTAAAAAGTTTCTAGAACATAAACTTTTAAATAATACAGGTTTTCACATTTCGCTAATACAATTTTGCTTATATCTTCTTAACGAGTAATCCAATTTTTATAATTCTAATTGAAATATTAGTTCTAGACCTGAGCCTTCGTTTTGAGACTAAAATTATGAAATACTCGTATCTCTACACATAAAAATTTTCATTTTCAACTTACGTAAATATACAAAAATTCTAACAACTTTAAAACTCTTTTCTAACTTACTTTAGTCAGTTTAATGAGGGACGTGTGAATAGTGTTTTTTGCTGTTGCATTGTGTTTGTGTTGCAACCCTAGTAGTGGCATCGACACAATGTTCTGTTTGCGATGTGGCCGGCCGCTAGTTCCGTCTAGTTCCGTAGTGGTTGTGTCGTAGTTACGTTGTGGTCGGTAAGTAGTTAGGTTGTACCAGTTATGGCGCACTTGTAGAAAGGTTGTACCAGTTCTGGCGCACTGAGTCAGAAGTGTTGATATCCGCTGCGAGCCTCAACCGTCATTAGCCCTCCATTGTCCTTATCTACTTATCTATTGTTGATTGACTACCGTCATTATCTATTATTCGTCAGCGTGTGGGTCGGCTTATGCTATTGTATTATACTCCTTTGTTCCTATCTACAACACTAATCTGAATCATCAATAAAACACATTACCTAATTTTGTTAAAATTTTTATTTATGAAATACAAAATCTTATTACTTATTATCTATAAAATAGGAGCGAAACATCTCATCCACTAAAATATCGTTGTACAATGTGTTCTCTGTAAATATACTCGTAAAACTATGCATTGAACATCCCTGAAACTTATATAGCAAATACATTAAGCAATATTCGCCACAAACTGAAGTCCACTCATTCTGAATCCTATCAACATTCCAGTTCCATCTTTTACAATTTCTTTTAAAAAACTCTAGATGATATCGTACAGGTGCCCGTCCGAATGAATCAAAATATTGACCGACGTCATTCGTATCGATATATAAAGCTACCCAATGTGACCCTGGTTTATCATCTGTATCCAAATTGCATATTATATACGTTGGTACGTTGGTGTACATGGGTAGTTTATTGGCAGCATAAACATTATTTTCTAGAGTGGGGTGAATCTTTTTCAGATGTTGTTGTACATCTAGTGTATCCATAATATTACTGCTATTAGTAGATTATTACAGTACCAATACACTGAACAAGACACGACAGGAAGGACGTAGGAATGTAGAGATAAGCAACAGAATGTAAGGTAAGCTTGTTGACGCATAAAGATACTATCAATTCTACTGCAGAAATTCTTTAGATTAGAATTATTACTCACTGGTACTATATAAGACCAAGCAACTGCAGTCATGGAGTTAGTGTATGGTCGTTTGACCGCAGTGGATCTATCAATACTACGTTTGTGTTACTTCAACGCATCAAAGGCCATGGATGTAAGTGTTTATTCTATTGACAAACTTACTTTTCTTTCTGTTATTTTCTTACGTGTGTATGATTTAGTGTTAACAAATTATATTTAAATATTATGTGTGTGTATATGGTTAAGCCGTGGTAGCTCAGATGGTTAGCGCAAAATGTAAACTTCATAGTACACGTCCCGGGTTCGACCCCCGCCGGCACCAATTAAATTGTTAATTACAATTTTAAGTGCTGATTTACCACGTGCTCAGCGGTGAAGGAAAACATCGTGAGGAATGCATGTCTGAGAAAATTTCGAAGGCATGTGAAGTTTGCCAACACGCATTGAGGTATCGCAGCGAACATTTCCTAGCCCTAAAACCCTCTCAGAAATGAGAGGAGGCCTATGTTCAGCAGTGGACTTTAATAGGTTGTAACTTTAGCTTTTTTAACTTTTATGATTAAGTGTTAACAAATTGATATTAACATGATAACTGTGTTGTTGCAGAAATCATTGAGCTTCGATGAAAATACCTATAAACAGTATTACTACTCGCCACTCTCCCCTCAAGAAGAGAGTGATGACATCGTCATTAATAATAACATATGCGATGGTGGAAAAAGAAAATCGCAATCGATTGATCATTTTTTTGAAGCTGAATCAAAAATAAAAAAGAGGAAGCTGTTATCATCAACCGTAGCACGAGCCGCTAGAGATGGTGTATCATACATTTCTACTAATTCTGACGACGGAGACCAAGCGACGCATCTCATCAAAATTGAAATGTACGATATGAAGAAGCTATCCGAGATTCCAACTACTGATCATTGGAAACATGCTTCCACGAGGATTAAATATTACGTAAAGACTAATAAGGATAGCATCTACGACAACACAAACGCCCTCGTATACAATATTACAAAGACAATAGCAGAAAGTGAAAAAGTTAAAAAATACTTTTTTAACAATGACAGTCATTAGCTGATCATTAGTGAATGTGATTCTGTTTACTTAAATTACAGGAAGACAAGAGCAGAAGAAAGAGATGAGTGTGGCATACGTGTACAGAACACATCATTGAAGAACAAAACTACAACACTGAGTGGAGATGAAAACGAGAATATGCAGTACTCAAGAGCTGAATATCCATTCTTCAGTTCAAAATCTAGCCGGTTGCTCAGTTTCGAAAACTGGCCTCTCGTTATGCGACAGAAACCTGAAGATCTTGCAGAAGCCGGTTTCTTTTATACTGGCCATGCAGATAGGACCAAGTGTTTCCATTGTGGTGGTGGCTTAAAAGATTAGGAAGATGATGATGATCCTTGGCAGCAGCATGTTCAGTGGTTTAGTCAGTGTGCTAATGTAAAATTTAAACTCGAACAGAGTTTTGTATTAGATTAAATAGAATATTTATAAAGAAATAAAAAATAATATATTGCATATATTTGTTTTATTTAATTTTATAATGTTTCACATAGTTACATACACACAAAATGCATTACACATAACTCATAAAATCTAACACACAACACATATTATAACCTTAACTACTATAGTCTACAGTAACATTTCTGTTTTTATCTATCTCAATATATTGTTACGCGCTCCAGTCAACGATACACTAGCGCCATCTAGTGTCAGGAACGAGAGCGAGGGGAGCATTGAGAAAATGACATCACAAATTACTCAACCGACAGCGCCTAGTCGAAACTCGAACGCTCGGTACCTTGCCCGTGTTTACTTGAACATTCTGGATATTTCTTTGCTAATTTAAATATATAGGCGCTGCAAGATGCGATCGAGGCAGAGTGAACTCGGCGACACAAGCGAAGCTTCGGAGTGGAATTAAGTGAATTAGTGTGTTTAAATTATTAGTGTTTTAACTTTAATTGTGCAAAGTAAATTAAAGTGTTAATTTAGGTAATTTTATCGGCAATTTTTATTGTCACGAACCTCAAGCTCGTAACAATATTATCAAACTCAGCATAAACTATACAGTTAATTGTTTGTATTAGTGAGGATTCAAATCGTACTTCTAATCTTACACTACCATGCTTTATGAAATTCCAATGAGCTGATGAGTTGGCTGATAAATCAGGAGTTAAGTCAAATGCTAATAGACAGTAACCTTTGGCATACTGTTCACAAGAGATTCCATTTCCTTCATTAAGAAAGTGAATACCAGTTCCCGAGAATAGAGTATGATATGCTGATGTAAATATGCTATTATTAAAAGATGGTTGCAAAGCTTTTGAAGGTATTTGTTGACCATCAATATATAAGCTGAAAGAATTAATACCATAGTTTTCAAAGTTAAATGGATTTTTAGTAAGGGAACCATTAAATGCAGAATTGTTCACAAATCCAATTATACATCTTTTGGGTACCTGCCCTAAAAATATATTATCAAGAGTTTTTCCTTGAACACCCGATGGAATTGTTAAAACTTTTACTTCAGCTCGAGTAATAGGATATTTAGCAGTGGTAGAAGCTAAAACTTTTTGATGTGCGAGTAATACACTTGGATTAATTCGTGCTCGTCGAACAATAAGAGTTGCGTCCGTAATGCAAACTTTAAACTTTACATCGTTTGACCCAGCAATTAAATTAAAGCTCTCTCTCGATCGAACCAATTTAACACTCATTTCAACACCATTAATTAAAAATTTATCTTGGTTGAAAATGTCACCGTGAAGATGACCAATCATTTCTATTTCCTTACTTTCACTAATCAATTCCTGTCTTTTAACAAATCCTATGTTTTTACCATCCGTAGAATCCATTTTTCCTGCTGTATCATCATACCAAAGACTACAAGTAAGATGAGATTGTTTAGCAGCAGGAGCATAGTTTAAAAGGGTTTCCATGTATGCTCGATATGCATAGGTATTATTAGGTGGTGATACAAGTTTTTGATTTAAATAAACATCAAGTTGACTAAAAAGTGAATGCAGTCAATTATTTACAGGTGCTACTATTGTAGTAGATATCAAGTTAGTTGAATCTTGATTTAATACTTTTGCCTTTATGTGGAGTAATGTATGAGACAAATCTATGTAGTCATCGCCTGTCCCAGGAACTTGAAACTCGATA